TTGTCATTTTATGACCTGTAATTCTTCAAGTTATATTCTTGATGTTCAAGTTCTCAGTTGAACAATTTACATCTATATGTGACCTTGTCCTTTGCTAATCCTAAATTGCATAATCCTTAGTTTGAAGACAGAGGAAAGGAGGCTCTGGTTTCTATAGCCAGGCACTAAAGTCATGAAGACATGAATGCCTCAATGGACATCTGTATGTAGGAAGAACATGAGAGTATAGCAGAGCATTTTATTCATAATAAATACCTCTGACCAGGAATACAAAGGAGGAGAGACTGGTGCAGAAGAAGCCAGGGTTGGGCATGTTTTCAGTTCTCTGCCAGAACACTTCACCTTTGTTCTATTTTAATATCCTTCTACTTTGACCCTGTGTCTCTTTTGTAAAGAAATCAGTCATCTCTTCCCCACTTCCAAGAGTTCACTGTAATTCCCAAAATATTAGTTATATCTGATATGGGAAATGAACTACCCTTCATGGCTTTGAAAGGGATGGGGCAGATGTGACCCTTCGTGTGTGTGTGAGTGACCAAATCCACAAGGACCCCTTCTCATCCCTTAGCAGCCACAGCACTGAGCTCGGGAAGGTTTAGCCATATCCTTTCACCAGTTGTCTTGGAAACACACTTAGAACATGGTCCTTGACATTGGTCCATTACTGAAGGAATCACAGGTGATTATAATTGAAGGATGGCATGGTGTCTTTGAGTATACTCTTAAAATGTTTTCTGAGGTCACTCTTGTATGGGAGAAGAATTATTTTCCCTCTCCCTTCTGAGTGCTAAGCTGAGACCCCTGTAACAGAAGACAGGTTAACAAGAGAAAAAGTTTATTAAAATGTATACCTCTTGTACACATGGGAGATACCCAGGAATAAAATGAGTAACTCAAAGAAGTAGATTTAGAATTTAGGCTTAAATTACATCTTAATAGGGAAAAGGATGGGGGCAGAATAAATGATTTTTAGTCAACATGGATGGGAGGTAGTTCGTGACAAAGTTTGGATGTGGTGTGGACTTCTAGTCTTGTCTCTTGTGATGAGAGTCAATGCTCTCTGATTGATGAAACTTCTGAGGAGAGGTAATGATCGTTGAGTCCTTTGTGGAGGATGTGTTTTTACACAGATACGGGGAATTCATAGAAAGCCTGTGACTGCATTTGCTGTTTTTCAGCCTACAGCTTAAAATTATCACTCTGCCAAGTGGCAATGTGGGGTTGGCTAGTTCTGCTGCACTTTACATTAAGTATCCAACATTCAAAACTAGAATATTTGAAGACCCTCTTCAAATGAAGCATATCTAATTTCAGCTTAATTCCTTAGGTATATGTAGAAAAATGTATAAGATCTGGAAATTTTGTAAGTATTATATTCCACTCCCCCCACCAAACCAAACTGAGCAAACCTCTGCAGTCACAAATATTTCCTAGTTGCAGGCTTCCCCAGAGTGGTGGCATTGATAGCGACCATAAACTCCTGTCCTTTTCTGTCTACTAAAATTTATAAGAAGGCTTTCCTTTTGGCCTTTGCATAAATTAGACCTATTTGCTTATTCCTGGTTGCAAATTAAGATTCCCGTTGTCTAAATCATGTCAGCGTCGTTCCTAGTTAACATAAGAATATATTACGTGCTGTAACTTGACACCCAAAATTAATTTCAGTGATAGGAACTTTCCTGTAAGGATTTTAAAAAGACCATAAACCATTTCCATGTTATAAGAAGTTTCATTTAGTCTCAAATTAGTTTAAATTGTTGTTCACCTTTGTACACCTTTTGTGGGGAGGGTTCCTGACACCTCCCATACTCTAGTTCACAGAACTGTTTCCTGTTTCAATCTTATTTCACACCTGTGATAACTTCCGGCTAAGGCTGTGATGTCAGAGGGGAGAGCAGGGCAGTAAAACAGATCATCCCTCTCCCCTTATTCTCTTCCTTTGGGGCGAAAGGCAGGGTCACATTTACTAGTAGATGCTGGTGATACTGAAAGATTGTTCCCTGGAGGTACTCAGACCAGGAGAGGCTGAAAAACAAGTTGATGGGAGGGGCGATGACATGGATCCCTTGTGCCTTCTGCTCCTCCCTGGGCCAGGTGCCTTCACATGCCTCTCCATTAGCCCTTGTTAACATAAGTGTTTTCATCCCCCAATACTGGAGCCAACAAAGTGGTGGAGTTGGAATGCAAACCCCAGGTCTCTATGCTAAATCTCAGGCTTTCTTTTTTTTCTTTTTTTAAAATATATATTTTATTGATTATGCTATTACAGTTGTCCCATTTTTTTCTCCTCTTTATCCCCCGCTTCTGCCCTGCACCCCCTCCCACCAGCATTCCCCCCACCCCAGTTCATGTCCATGGGTTGTACATATAAGTTTTTTGACTTCTCCATTTCCTATACTAAACATCCTCCTGTCTATTTTGTACCTACCATTTATGCTTCTTACTCCCTGTACCTTTCCCCCTATTCTCCCTTCTGCACCTCTCCTCTGATCTCCATTTCTGTGATTCAGTTCCTATTCTAGTTGTTTGCTCAGTTTGTTTTTGTTTTTGTTTTTCAGGTTCAGTTGATAGTTGTGAGTTTGTTGTCATTTACTGTTCATAGTTTTTTGGTCTTTTCCTTAGATCAATCCCTGTAACATTTCATATAATAAAGGCTTGGTGATGGCAAGCTCCTTTAACTTTACCTTATCTGGGAAACACTTTATCTGTCCTTTCATTCTAAATAATAGCTTTGCTGGATAGAGTAATCTTGGATGTAGGTCCTTGCCTTTCATGACTTTGAATACTTCTTTCCAGCCCCTTCTTGCCTGCAAGGTTTATTTTGAGAAATCAGGTGAAAGTCTTATGGAAACTCCTTTGTAGGTAACTGTTTCCTTTTCTCTTGCTGCTCTTAAGATTCTCTCCTTATCTTTAATCTTGGGTAATGTAATTATGATGTGCCTTGGTGTGTGCTTCCTTGAGTCCAGCTTCTTTGGGACTCTCTGAGCTTCCTGGATCTCCTGGAAGTCTCTTTCCTTTGCCAGATTGGAGAAGTTCTCCTTTATTTTTTTGAGTAAGTTTTCAATTTCTTGCCCTTCCTCTTCTCCTTCTGGCACCCCCATGATTCAGATGTTGGAAGGTTTAAAGTTGTCCCAGATGTTCCTAAGCCTCACCTCTTTTTTTTTGAATTCTTGTTTCTTCATTCTGTTCTGGTTGAATGTTTATTTCTTCCTTCTGCTTCAGATCATTGATTTGAGTCCCGGTTTCCTTCCCTTTAATATTGGTTCCCTTTATATTTTTCTTTATTTCACTTGGCACAGCCTTTACTTTTTCCTCCATTTTGCAACCATACTCAACTACTTCTGTAAGCATCCTGATTACCAGTGTTTTGAACTCACCATCTGATAGATTGGCTATCTCTTCGTCATTTAGTTCCATTTTTGGATCTTTGATCTGTTCTTTCATTGGGCCATATTTCTTTGACTCTGTGCACCTGTTAAGTTGGAAGTGTTGGAGCCTTAGGTATTCACCAGCATGGGGCAACCCAGGTCACTGTGTTGTGATGCTGTAGGTCGGGGAGGGGTCCTAGATGGAACAATGCCGCTTGCTTGACTCTGCAGGTTTTCAGTCACTTCCTCTGCTACCCACAAGCAAATTGGGCCCTTTCAGGTGCTGAATCCTGGGTGGGTGGGTTTGTGTACCTTCTAGGACCCTGTGGGTCTTTCCAGCGAACTCTTCTGTGAGGCATGGAGTTTCTCCTGTAGCCGCAGACCCCACCGTTTTTTACAGCCAGAGGTTTTGAGACTTTTCTTTTCCTCTCCTGGAACCCTGGATTGCAATGGTCTGTCTCACTCCCCAGCTGTTCCTCCCAGCTTATCCGCACGTATGTGTGGGACCATCTGGTCTGCCAGCTGCCTCCTCACCCACCTGGTCCTCCAGCCGCCACCTTGCCATGGACAGATGGACAGATATAGACACATATATCTGTCCCGGCTGCCCAACTCTGCACCTCTTACTGCTCTGGATAAATGTTTCTTCTTTAGCTCCTTGGTTGTAGGACTTCCATACAGTTCAATTTTCTGGCAGTTCTGGTTATTTTTTTGTTTTTAAATTTGTTTTTGTCCTTTTTTTTGGTTGTGCGAGGAGGCAAAGTGTATCTGCCTACTTCTCCATCTTGGCTGGAAGTCCTCATGCTTTTTTCTTATTATAGAAGGAAGCTTTTAGATATTCCTGTCCTTATTAGGTAGTTCAAAAACAAAAGTTTGGGCAAGTCATTGACAGAAAATAGGATAATGGTTGTTTTGTGTCCTAGGATTAACAGTGACATCTGTATGTAATTTAGAGCAAGGCATACACATTTTGTGGATGCATATTCAATTTATTTTCTGAAGGAGAACATTATGCCTTGTCTATGAAATGAGAATAGTGTGTCTCTGCGCTGTGAATGCTCTGTGGGCTCAGTACAGCCATCTCTGAAGGTTTACACTGTTCCAGGGCAGAATCAGTGCTCCCTAACATGCATCTGTTACTAAGTGTTGTGACTCTTGATGTTATTTTTGGTGGGTTGTTTCCATGTGCCCTTGTGTTCATTGCAAGATGTAGATACTTATATTCTCTAACATCAGGGAGTATGTTTTTAATATCAGTCTACTTATGTGGAATCATACTTAAGTTGATTTTTAAACTTCTTGGATTGCAGAATGGCAGCAGCAGTAAACAAGACTTCCACCTAAACAGTAAAGTAGGCTTTACCTCAGAAGTAATTACATTGCCTTGTAGTCATATGCAGCATTACTTGTTTGTGTGTGTAATGACTTGCTTGTGTATTTTAAATACAGTGTTTCAAATTCATACAGCATAGGTACTTTTGAAATTTGGAAAAAATTTGTTTACTAGGTCTAGTTTATTAATTTTTATATCTTGAAAATACATGATATTGTATATCATGCTTTGATTTTGAATGAGTTTTTTTGTCATTTAAGTTCTAATTTACCTTGTTATTTTATTTTATTTTTTTTTAGGGAATATCTTGGTAAACAGCTCCAATCTGAGCAACCTCAGACTGCTGCTGCCCGAAGCTGAAGTGTGCCCTCCAGCCTTCCCATTTCAGCTGCGACACAACACCTGGAGTGTGAATCTCAGTAGTTAAATAATTTTTCATTTTGTTTGTAACTTTCTTCTGTTGTGTAGCTTTCTCACTGTTGATTTCTGGTAAAAGTGTTTGCCCAGTAACTTGTATAAAAGTAGGTGCTTTCTGTATCTAAGAAAAATATTACTGTTACATATGTTGCTTGTATTTCTGTATTTATTGTACTCTAGAAATGAATATAGTTATTAAAGGATTCTCACTCCAACTATGGTTCTCTTTTTACTCATTTTGTACTTGTACTTTAACAAAAATTACCTGTTTGTCCCAATCAGATTGGGAGAATGGTTTGCAAAGTAGTGAACAGCAAATACAAGGGGCGATTCCCCCAGCAAAAAACCCAGAATTATCTTCTGGAGGACGGACCCCTTGTACATGCTTCCCCCAATGGGTGAGTGTTCTAGGCACCCATCTGTATCAGTGTACCAGCGGGTGTGGTTGTGAGAGGCTGTGTTTGACTTCAGTGAATTTTTTGAAGACTCTTTCAAATGTGTTTGTCCATTTCATGATGGGAGATTTACAAGTGCACCTGCCCATACCTCGTTGAATGTTCAGCAGTTTTTGACCAAAAACAGCATGATCACTGTGCCCCACCCTCTCTATTCACCCCATCTTGCCCTGAGTGACTTGTTTTTTTTTTGTTTCTCTGTATGAAAACAGTCCTCAAAGGGAAACATTTTGCCAGTATGGAAGAAGTGAAACAAAAAACAGCAGAAGCACTCAAAGTCATCAAAATTGACAAGTTCTTTGAGCAGTGGAAAAAATCTCTGAATAGGTGTATTGCATCAAATGGAGAGTACTTTGAAGGTGACTGAAGTCTAAACATCTAAGAATAGATATGTAATTTTTTATAAAGAAATTCTGGATTTTTTGGTTCCCCCCTTCAAAGTGTTTTGAGATTATATGTGTCTGTATCTGTCCATCTGTCCATTCATCCCCCCATCCATTCACACATACACATTGCAGCAGTCCTCTGCTAATATTTAGAGAGCTTTAAATTTCTAAGTTAAATATTCACATGATACAGTGGTCCAGAAGATTTTGCTTATGGAACTTAATGAAGACCTGTAGCTTTAGAGTATTTTATTTCACTGATTTCCTAAATTCTCATTCTTGGATTTTAGAACTGAAAGTCAGTTTTCTTTTAATACTTTTTGGTTTAAATATTGTCAATAAATACGTTATTTTTATCCCTCCTTTTTTTATCCTGGAACTACAGGCCCTCAGCAGGGCATACATGGCATGTGGGTACCTGCCTCCTCAAATCTGACCTTCCTGTTTTTTTAACCTCATCACTGGGTCTCTCTCAGTATCATTTTTAATTTTATTTTCACTTTTCATATGTAGTGATTCTCTATCAGGTTGTTGAATAAATATGGTAAGGCTAATAAACAACTTACTTTGGTAATTTTTTTCCCTACAGAAAGATACTCATAGAACCCATTTCCTGTGTAATGATCAATGATTGTTTTTTTAATTTTATTTTTCCATTACAGTTTTCATCCAATATTATATTAATTTCAGTTGCGCAGCATAATGGTTAAACAATCATACTTTACAAAGTGATCCCCCTTATATTTTAAAGAACCCAAGTGGTATCATATATACTTACTACAGTATTATTGACTGCATTTCCTATGCCATACTTAACATTCCTGTGACCATTCTACAGCTCCCAATTTGTACTCCTTAATCCCTTCACCTTTTTCACCGAGCCCACCCTATTTATATTTTGTTTGTTCATTTATTTTGTTCTTTAGATTCCACATATAAGTAAACTCATATGGTATTTGTCTTTCTGTGATTTATTTCACTTAACGTTTTCAACATAGACATCATGTGGGGATAGTTAAAATAATGGCTGTTTTTCTTGGTCAGTAAGTTTTATGTGATTTTTCTCAATGATTTTTCCTAAAGAGTTTACTTCATATTTGCCAAGAAATAGGTAATATGATCAAACCAGTTTTTTCTTGACTGAAAGGTTTAAAACTTTAAAATGCTTAGACCCATATATTTTTGCTTACCAAAACATGAAAGAATACCAGACAGAAATAGTGTTACTAGTTTTTTTTTTAAATTTTATTTACTTTTTAGCAAGGAAGGGAGGGAGAAAGGGAGAGAAACATTGATGTGTGAGAGAAACATCCGTCAGATGCCTCTTGTAAGCCCTCAACTGGAGACCTGGCCTTCAACCCGGGTATGTGCCCTGACCAGGAATTGAACTGAAGACCCTTTATTTTGCAGGTTGGTGCTCAATCCACTGAGCCATACCAGCCAGGGTTGTTACTAGGTTTTTAAGACATTCAATTTCTATATGTTCTAGTAACCAGACACTGCAGTCTTCTGAATTTCATAAGAACACATTGATACTTTAATATCATACATTCTGATTTTAGTTTCATTCTGCGTAGGCCTGTAGTTCTAGAGTAGGTACCAGTGACAATCATTCTGGTGGAGGTGGTTAGTGTTTTCATTCCCAACAAGTGCTTTTATACATGGGACACAAGACTCCCATGTCCTTGCGTTTTACTTATTGTCCCATATATTAAAATTAACTTTATTTGTAGGCACTTTTTTTTTTAACCTTTAAATCTTTACACTCAGCTTACAGAACTTAATTACAAGAACAATGACTTTTTCTGGCCTAATGTTTTCAATTACTAGTTAATGATTAAATCCTAAAAATTTAATACCACTTACATCTTCAACTGAACTGCAAACACCTAAAGAGCAGACTTACAAATCTCACAAACAAAATCAAAGTAACAGTTAATGATTATAAATCTAATCAGGGAATATAGTAAAACAAATTTTATTAAGCATTTTAAAATATCTAAACAGCCTAAACAAGGACCACAATGATAAAATGTGTTACTCCACCTGTATTAAAACAGTTTACACAAAATTTTTTCTGTGCTTCTTTTTATGTGTTCCTCTTTTAAAATCCTTTTGTGCTTCATTGACCACTAGTCTAAATTTGTCAAATAATTTCACTGAAAGTTGAAATATATTAGAAAAAACTTGGTGCAGAATTTAGGTGTTGTTTTATTGGATTTGTTGTTGAGGGCACAATAGGTTTTACAAAGTTTGACAGGAAATCCAACTATATAAACTGATTTCTAAGATATCCATTAATATTTTATAATAAAATTAACCTTGAGCACATATGCACAGTAATTTGAAGGGAGAAAAGAACCTTTGAATTTTCAGATCTCAAGAGGCACAGAGATGTTCACATCAAAGGGAGAATGAAATCGTATCTTCCTTTTTAGAAAACTCCTTTTTGGGGACTTTTGGACCCTCATTTTAAAAGATATGTGGCGAGAGCCTTATTCACCAGCAAAGTATGTTCCTACACATTGCACCTGGCCAGTCACAGCTGTCAGATTTTTAGAATATATCAATTAAAATTTTTCTTTCTGTTATAGCTGCATTAGAGTAATTGAGGTCAATTTTCATATAATTAAAATTTAAATGATTTTTTAACTTTTAGATGTAAAAGAAAGCACAGAACCAAGTATTGATGCTTTTGGCTTATTTTATAATTGCTTAAAAGGTTCTCTGTGCTCATTCTTTGCCTCTGAAAATAGAAAATATTTGAGACTAAATTTTGGAACCACTCAGAGTTGGTAGGTGTCAAATTTGAACCTTGTGATGAAATCACTTTTCAGTTTGAAATTTCTCTTGTTTTGCTGCACAAAATGTTCTGTTCTGCTTAAGAGATGTGGCTCCTTTAACTTCCTGAACAAGTTACCAATGAAAAAGTCAGAAGAAGGAGCTGCAGATAATGTTACTTCTATATTTATGCAAATCTGACATCGAGTTCACATTCTCTTTCACTTTTTAAAAGAGAAAGTGTTGAGTCCTCTTCAAAAAATAAAATCAAAGTGGAAGAAACACTCTAGGAACAAAGGAATACTGGCTCTAGAGGCTTTACCTTCCAGTAACTGTCTATGCTTTTGTCTTTCCCCCTCTCAAAGAAAAAGGAGATACCAGGGTATCTGGTTGAAAGAACTAATGTACAAAGATAACTGAATCACAATGTAACCTATGTAGAAATAAAATATTTGTAACAGTACCACAAAGGTTGCAGGGGGGAGGAAAATGGAATTTTATTCTTGTAAGGTTTTTGCATGTACATGAAGTGGGGTAACAATATGAAATAAAGTGATAATAAATTTAGGATGCATATTCAATTCCCTAGAGCAACCACTAAAACAATAGGAGGTACAGCTGAAGAGCCATTAGTGAAGGTAAAATGGAATACTAAAAATATTGGGTTAACTTGATTAACCCAAAAGAGGATAAGAGAAGAAGAACAGAGAAGAGAGAAGACCCTTAGAAAATAAATAGCAGGAAAATAGACAACCCAAACAGTAGCAATAACTACTCATGGGAGCCTTGGACTCCCACTGCTATTCATCCAGAATTTTAACTTTTCATTGTTGCCACCCGCCAGGAAACCATTGCTTCCAATTCCCAAGATTTGGGTGGAAGGGGGTATTCGAGAGTGCTTCAGTCAAGTTTGGTTAATGAAATATGGAATAAACTTTTCTGGGAAAATCAGATCTTTGTCACTGGCAAGTGCAAGGTTCAGAATGGTTTGGAAAAAGTGAATTTTGCAGGGTTACTGTAGAAAGAGTTCAAAACACTTCCTTGCCACCAAGGGAGGCTTATTCCCTTGTCATTCCATCTTTTTGTCTACATGTCTGGCTATCCACTCTCCCATCCTCCACCTGAATCATTGTTTTGATGTTCTTTTTATTGTTACTGAGACCTGAACGCTTCTGAGACTTCGCAGTAATTATGAAGACGACTTCGTTGGCCTCCGTTCTCCTCAGGTTTAAGAGAAAGTGGAATTTCTGACTTAATTCCTGAATACAGAGCTTTGTACCTTGCCTCGCCTGTTACACTGTGGCAGTGACTTCCAGCTCCCTCTCTCCACGGGTTCTTCACTCCCATACAGAGAAGAAGCCCTGGCCTCTAAGTGGGTAGTCCCCATTCCTGTCATGCTGTCACAAGTGACCAATTCCAATAGTAACTGCTTCCAGCGACCCAGAAGTTGCAATTCATTCAGAATCATCAATGAGTCTCTGCAGTGCAATGGACTAAGGTGTTGATTTATTTTGATACAATATTAGTCTTTATTTTGATACAGAAAAGTAGCAAGGATAACACAAAGAGCTCCCTTATGTTTCTTT